TGGTAAATCAAACAACAACAAACATATGAAACATATGTGTGAACTGCGGTTATGAGACGTATATGAGCACGATCCTTCGCAGTAAAGCACTATTTGAGCAATAGTGAAAATCAGACCTGAAAAAAATTTCAGGCCTGTACGGGATTCGAACCACTGACCTCTGCGATACTAGTGCAGCGCTCTACCAATTGAGCTAACAAGCCAACTGGGAGCAGGCCATCAAATTAATTCGACATAAACCCGTAGATGATAAATCAAACAACAACAAACATATGAAACATATGTGTGAACTGCGGTTATGAGACGTATATGAGCACGATCCTTCGCAGTAAAGCACTATTTGAGCAATAGTGAAAATCAGACCTGAAAAAAATTTCAGGCCTGTACGGGATTCGAACCACTGACCTCTGCGATACTAGTGCAGCGCTCTACCAATTGAGCTAACAAGCCAACTGGGAGCAGGCCATCAAATTAATTCGACATAAACCCGTAGATGATAAATCAAACAACAACAAACATATGAAACATATGTGTGAACTGCGGTTATGAGACGTATATGAGCACGATCCTTCGCAGTAAAGCACTATTTGAGCAATAGTGAAAATCAGACCTGAAAAAAATTTCAGGCCTGTACGGGATTCGAACCACTGACCTCTGCGATACTAGTGCAGCGCTCTAGTATCGCAGATACTAGAGCGTATCCCGTACAGGCCTGAAATTTTTTTCAGGTCTGATTTTCACTATTGCTCAAATAGTGCTTTACTGCGAAGGATCGTGCATATATACGTTTCATAACCGCAGTTCATACATATGTTTCATATGTTTGTTGTTGTTTAATACTTTAATTGTATGGAAACACGCGGATGTGGACACTTCAAAGGAAACTTTTCGATTTCGAATGTTCTTTCAACCTACGTGCTTTTGAAGGTTCTTAGTCTCTCAGCTACGATACAAATGAGCACAGACATTTATTATCTGATGATCTACCTGACAGAGCCATTTCCTGAGACAACCCTACTGGGCTGAATCGTCCTGAAAGTGCCTTGAAATTTACATCTCACCAAATGTTATCCTCAATTATTTGCACTTTAAATAATGATGCAAACATTGAAGGCATTCGTTGTAAAACCGTTCATTTCATGGCATTAATTTCTTTCTCTTTTGAATATGACTACTCAAGAAGCCAGTTATTTAGAGAACCATGGACAACCAAGGAAGTCAAAGCTCTGGAGAAAATGCACAGCCCAAAAATCCGATGACTAAAGAAGATGCGGCAAGGATTCAGAGTTCAGAAGCAAAACAGCATGGCGGCGGGGTTCCAAAAGGAGGCTTTTCATCGCGAGCTCAGTCTACTGCAGACAAGCGGGAAAACCAGAAGAACTAAATGCCTGTGGAACTGCCTTTTAATTCAAAGGGGGCATGATTTCGTACATTAAAATTTGTGAGAGACATTTAGTCATTGTTTAATCTTTAAAAGTAGGATTGTCCTTAAACTACGATTCGAATTTCTTGCTGAATAATCATCATCTACTTGTAGTCGTAGCAGTTTATCTGACTATTTAGAGAAATGAGTGAAGTACAATGGAAGCAACTGAAATAAAGTGGTTATCTAAAAATGTTACCAGCCGAGAGCGAAGGTAATTTGATTTTTTTTCACCTATTTATATCTCCGAAACACCAGGCTATGTAATGCCCGCTATTTTTTCTCAGAACCTTACACAGCATTCGTAGTATCATCTAGTTTAATACCGAGTCAACTCCCAAAAATATGTTTTAGATTATCATCGTCATCTTATTTTGATCATTATTATTTTTCCAGTAAAAGCCCTCAGAGATTCGCGTATGATGACCGTGAACCTGTGTTGTTGGTATCTCACCCAGCTATCTTTCAAACTATGAGATCGTCCCACCCTCCCTCAGTTCCTCATTAGCATCTTTTCTGTCATTTTTTGGGGTGATGTTGAGCGAGAAAAATTTGGAAAAAATTGATGCATTACTATATACCTAAAGCTCGAATTTACATAAAGGATGAAGAGTGGTATGATATGCAGAAGCGTGTCAGCCAAGTCATATGTCCAACTGATCACTGATTTTAGCGCCGGTGGAAAATGCCGTTTACGTCAATTTTTTGATAAAATAATTCTGCCCATAGCCCCGCTTTATTGTGTAAATTTGCTTGTAATGTTCTGTAAAAATAATAGTAAACAACAACAACGTGAAGAAGATAAATTTCGATATTTTGAGTATCTTTCTGCGGCGAGGGAAATGAGTGACAACATAAGTGAACAGTGTCAACACTGACAAGTGAACAGAAACCACAAAGTATTAGTTTGGTGATAGAAAAACTTTAATATCTTCCCTAAAAAAGTCATTTTTGGCTATTATCAGGAATAAACTTCCCTTGACAGCGCTTGATTTTTTATAACGTTCGTAATAGGGTCGCAGCTAAAGTGTATATTTCATCTCTACTCATTAACTACAGGTTTAAATATATTCCCAATAGAATTGACATGTTAAGTTCGTAGAAGTCTCACGAAAAGAAATGAGTATTTATGGAGAGCAAGTGACATCCTTAAAGATATAGTTATCGCATGACTTCTTTTTTGAAGTTGATTACTAAGCCAATGGTGAATTATATAATTAAAAACTTTATTTTCTCACTGAGTTGGTCATAATAAAAGCAAACAATTTACACGGGACTACAAAACTATAATCATACGTTAGGTAGTCTATATCTTATATTAGGCAGCCTCATATCTTAAGTTAAAAATGTTTCAATAGATAAGACGCCCATTGGCAGCCTCGGTCTCACTGTCTCGCATGTGGACTCGTTGCTTTATCGGCTTATGTCGCAGAGGAGCTTCGCAATTCATTGTTTTTAAAAGTGGGTAAAAAGACCTTATTGAAGTAAGAAGACTCTAAAAGACTTATGGCGAAAATACAGTTTTTATTTTACATTTTATATCGAGACTTTACAGTTTACAGAATTAAGCTTTCTTTGATAGCTTTGTTTTTCTTTTACCTTTTCAATGGAAGGGCTGCAGGTGTGAATATTTCAGTTACCTCGAATTTGTGACTAATTCCTCAGTAATTTTGAGCTTAATAAAATATGGATGCAAAGGACGGTCGGAAGAGAAAATAATACATTTAAAAATCTGTAGTGGCCTCGAGACTGCACAACTAAGAGATCGACTATCGCCAGATAGATGATCAAATATGTACTCCGCCGCTGCAGCTGACGCTTTTTCTTCACAATTACAACTTACAATGGTGATAATATTAAGGATGACTATTAAAACAATAGAGTGTTTCTGTCGGGGAACTATCGGCTGATAGCTGCCCCGCGGAAATTTGATGTTCTTAAAACAAATATTTTCCCGAGAAGCGAAGCACTCTATTGTCTTTATTGTTCACCACTAAATTTTCTTCCTCGCGCAAGTTGAAAAACAGTCAAAACCCACTAAATGCTGATCAATCAAATATTTATTCATGCGTATAGCCTGTCACGAATGTCAATAGTTCGCAACGTTCATTGGCTAAATAGTACGTTATACCTGTCAGAATTAAAAAGTCACTGTTTTTCCGATCTACCTAACTTCGTGACCGTGAAACCATTCAAAACGTTTCACAGATGAGTACTTTCCATCCAGGTATTTTCCGCAGACGGGCACTAGGGGCTGATAGTGTCTCTCCAAGGATGTAATTTTGAGACTGATATGCAGTTTCCAAAACAAAAAGAAAAAATTAAATTATTAAGTGGAGTCTTTTGTTTTCCAATTGAACAATTGGTTTTTAACAGCATTCTTAAAATGTATCTGATACATTTACACAAGGTACAATTTATCGCAATCAAACGCAAAAGAGAAATCTTTCTAAATATTGGTAAAAACAAAGTGAAACCTTGGCCAATAAAGTTAAATTCATTCTTTCAAAGTCTGACAAAACGAATTAATAAGATGCAGAAAATAACTTTGCTAACAAATAAACTTGGTAAAATTCCTCGAAAAGTTAGTCACGCAATTTCCATTCGACTGGAACTAAGATTATCGAACAATTACGGGACAACTGATTATTCTTCAAGTTCTCTGAAAACTCTCCGTTCAAGCACATAACTTTCACTCAGCTATACGGCAAAAATGGATTGAGAAAAATTAAAACAAAAAGAAACCTTTTCGACTTGACGAAAATGCAACACTTTAAAAAATTGTTTATAGGCAACGACGTCATTCATATTAGATTACAGCTACCTAGCCAGTCATGATAATTTCAAGACATCAGTTATTCAAAAAATAACTTCATAAACTAGTTTAAACCAGACATGAGCGATCAAGACACTTCAAAGTTCTTTCTCTTTGATATGTCCAAAATCCAGGAGCATTTTTCAAAACGAAAAACAACGATTTTTGAAACAATAGAAATCCATAGCGACTCTGTTTGAATTTTTGAATTTAACCGTCTTTTGGTTCTCCCTGTTTTGAAAAGAAGACTCTCACAGATATTTCATTGGTAGCCCAGTGGGGTTTGTTACAAACATCAACGTCTGCAGACAACATTAGCTGCATCAGCTGTCTTTCTTCAAGGCTCACTTCTTTAACTGAAAAATAATAAAAAAATACATTAAAAAGAGCAAACTTGAGGGAGCTTATGAATTGCCGTAAATTTCGTTTCTTAATTCGGCTATACAAAATTAAACGGGACACTGCACAGCAGGATTGGTTCAAACAAAATTTCATTTTAATTAACAATTGGTTCATGCTTTAGCGTTCACCATCGAGTTATGGAGCACGCGGGAAGTTTGGAGAGCACGAAAGAAGCGTAAGAGAAAGAAGCGTAACCTTTCTTGTTTTCTACGAAAAACGTTATCGTAGTAAATGTGTCGAGTCATTTGCACGGCATCTCAATTTGCTAGTGCATCAAGAAAAGTGCTAGCCTGTAGAAAAAAAACTGCATGGCAAAGAAAAGCATCTATGCTCATAAAGCTATCTTTTTATATGGAGTCGCTTAGTACTGAATCAAAGTTATAAACAGAGTAATTACGTGGTTCAGCATCTAAATTTCCTTGAAATCCAGTTGAACATCATCACCGATGACTACGAATGGTGCGCACTGCTTCACCTCCTTGAAACTTTGTGGTTACGTGGTTCAAATTGCTGAAGACTAAAATTTAACTGGTATAGAGGATAACAATTAAGGTCGAATGCTGTTCACAAGTCAAAATTTGCTCTCTCGTGATTTCCTGCTTTGATCCCGCAGAATGGTTATTTTAGAATGATTATTTTACGAGGTTTAATACTTCGTAATTTCGGAGTGATTTTTTTTTTTGTATTTGGCTTGTGTTGTACAGGTTTTCCAGTAGTTTTGGCTACAACAGAGTCATCGATATGTCTTTATGTCGGTCAAAACAAACGAAACTACGACGAGTCTCCTGGATTCATCCGGTAATTTCTTTGTGTCTTTATTTTCTTATTTTTTTATTCTCACAACGTTTGTTGTCACGCTTAATTTTGTTTTCTAGAAATGTTGGCTGGTTTAGCTCTAAATACAACAGGTACGTTATCCATTCTGTTGAGGTGCTGCATTGTTCGTGGACTTTTCAGCTGTAAACCAATTGAGAGAAACCTAGGAATTAATCAGCGATGCATACGTGACATACTCTCTAAGCAGTTCACAATAAACCAGGAATATTCCAATAAAATTGAAACTTGTCTTTTTTTTTAATTTCATAGGCTTCAAACTGCTGTCATAAATTACATAATGAAAACTAGTTGTACATGTCAACTGTCATCCTCTAAATCCGTTTATTTACCTAAAGAGGCCATCGTTCAGTTCTAAATGCCTGAAAATATTAAAAATGATATTTTCGTATAATGCACGATCCTCGCAGTAGATAGCGCTATTTAAGCAATAGCGAAAATCAGACCTGAAAAAAATCAGGCCTGTACGGGACTCCAACCACTGACCTCTGCGATACTAGTGCAGCGCTCTACCAATTGAGCTAACAAGCCAACTGGGAGCAGGCCGTTAAGTTGATTCGTAATAAACCCGTGAAAGTAATAAATCAGATACAATGAAATATATGAAACTCATATATTTTGAACTGCGGTATTAGATACGCATAATGCACGAATAACACGAGAACAATTCAAAGGCTCCTCGGAGCTACCTCATGGTATATCTTTATCATTTGATTAAGTGGTGAGCTCTGTCTTTTTTCCAACTAATAAGGGTCTGACTTGAAATGCAGTTTTGTCAGGGCAGTTTTCCCCACACTTTTCTATTATCTAATATGTAAAATCTCTACCCTTCCATACCAGCTCTTTGCTAAAAAATGGCAGCCCTTTAGGACAGAACCTGCCAGTATGGTTTACTATAGGGAGTAGCCGCCAATCCCATTGTTGGAGTTAGGCATGGTAGGCCAATATTACAATAATATTAAAATCAATTGTAGCCTGGGTGTGAGGGTGTGGGAAATGAAAGAAAAGAGACGTGTCAATGAGAGCTGTTTGAAACTTTATCACTGAGCATTCATTACTGTATTTGAGCTGTTAACCATTGTTGTTGCCTTGAAAGTCACATGAGTAGAAGTAGCCCCTTAAATGGTCACGTGGGCAAACTGAGAATTCAAATGC